CCTCTGGCAACGGAAGGGCAGGGCGCTGCTCTGGTATAAAGCCGGTAGCCGACCGGGTCTCAGGTATGCGTGGGGTCTGGGAGCCTCTGGCCAGGCTGGGCGTCTGAGGCTCCAGGCCCCTGGATCCGGGGTCGGGGTACCAAGACAGGCTCAGGGGAACCGGCCTGTTTGCGCCTTCTGGCGGTTGCAAGGAACGGTGCAGGAGGCCCCGTGCCATCTTTCTTTGCTCGGAAACGTCAAGCCATAGTACTCATTGTACATCATTTGTTCATTGCTTCATTTATTCACTCATCCGTGCATTCATTCGTCCATTTATTTGCTCACTCCACAAATATTGAGTGTCTACTCTATAATAGAGCAGTGAACAAAAGAGACAAGCCAAGTCTTCATGGAGTTGACATTGCTTGTGGTGGAGACAGGCAGTAAACATAAGTACAGTATATTATAGAGTTTATTAGAATATGATAAGTCGTATGGAGGACAGGGTTGCACTTTTAGCAAGGGTGACAAGGGACGTGCCTTACCTTACTTCACAGGTCTTCCCACTTTTAATTATAAGCAGTAAGAAAGATACTTTAAAACTTAATTTTGGCCATGTCCCCTCCCCCCCCCGCCCCGCTTAAACTATCCATAACTAGGCAATATCTTAGATAATGTCAACATAAGAAACATCAAAGGTCCTAGCTGGGTAACTCAAAGCATCGTCCCAATAAGCCAAGGTTGCAGGTCCCACTCCTGATCAGGGCACATACAAGAAGCAAGCAAATAAGTGGAACAAATCGATGTTTCTCTCTTTCTCTAAAAAATAAATCAATAAATTTTTTAAAAAAGAAAAACGTTCAAACTTATAGAGAATTTTTATGAGTTTGAGCCACACTGAGGACATATGCCAGGGAGCAAGATCTCAAATGCTTCAGAGAATAACAGTTTTTCAGTTTCTTTCACACATTTAAGATTAAGGAGGGAACTAAGGAAGACGATGTGAAGATGGGAGAAAGCAATGCAGGCACTGGATTACAGGGTAGTTAAGATCATGTGTTCTCCTGAGGGTGGTTAAGTTTATACCAAAGGTGTCTTAACCTAGATGCATAGAAACAATGGACAGAGTTTGCTTAAGGCAAAGATAACCTTTTACTAAAAAGTTATAGAACTGGGCCTCTCTACCCGTAATGACCAGCCCAGTTAGGAATTTATGATTAAATCACACTGTGAGGTTGGTTTTTTTGTCCACAGGTGATATCCAATTTATGTATTTTTTCTTTTGTTGCTTGTGCTTTTGGTACAACACTGTGGACTAAAAAAAAGGAAGGAGGGGTATGGAAAGTAACCTCACAGGGTGATCTAATCATAAATTCCTAACTGGGCAGGTCATAATGGGTAGTCAGGCCCAGGTCTAGAACTGTCTAATAAAAGGTTTATCTTTGCCTTAAGCAAGCCCTGTTCCTTGTTTCTGTGCATCTAGGTTAACACACCTTTGCAATGCCTCTTTTCAGACCCCTCCTTCCGATACCTGTCCACCCTTTCAGACCCCTCCATAACCTCTCCTGTAATATAATCCCTGCTTTGCTTTATCCCACCCTCATGTAATCTTTATGTTCCCTGCTTAATTTAAAATTCATAAAATAAACTGCAAAACCGTTACTTTCCAGAGCAGTTGTAATCTTGTTCTCTGGCATATGTTGTTAGTTTGGCTCAAAGAAATCCTTATAAAAATTATCTATAGGTTTGGACATTTCTTTTTTTTAAAATATATTTTATTGATTTCTTACAGAGAGGAAGGGAGGGGAATAGAGAGTTAGAAACATTGATCAGCTGCCTCCTGCCCACTCCTACTGGGGATGTGCCAGCAACCAAGGTACATGCCCTTGGCTGGAATCGAACCTGGGACCCTTCAGTCCGCAGGCCGACTCTCTATCCACTGAGCCAAACCAGCTAGGGCAGGTTTGAACATTTCTTATGTCGACTTATTTATTTCTTAAATTTATCTTTATTGTTGAAAGAATTACAGATGTCCTCCTTTTCCCCCTCTGAACCCTCCACCCCATCCCCACCCCCATTATGTTGACACATTTAAATTTAAAACTTTTATGTTTCAAAGGACATTATCAAGAAACGAAAAAGAGCCCTAGCTGGTTTGGCTCAGTGGATAGAGCATTGGCCTGTGGATCGAAGAGTCTCAGGTTCCATTCCAGTCAAAGGCAAATGCCTGGGTTTCGAGCTCAAGCCCCAGTAGGGGACGAGCAGGAGGCAGCTGATCAATGATTCTTTCTCATCATTGGTGTTTCTATCTCTCTCTCCCTCTCCCTTCCTTTCTGAAATCAATAAAAATATATTTAAAAAAAGAAAGAAATGCAAAAGACAACCCACAAAATGGGAGAAAAAAATTGCGAATCATATACCTGATAAAGCAGTTGTATCTAAAATAAATAAAAAAGTCATGCAAGTCAATAATAGGACAAATGACCCAATTTAAAAATGGACAAGATCTGGCCTTAGCCAGTTTTGCTCAGTGGATAGAGTGTCGGCCTGTGGACTGAAGGGGCCTGGGTTCAAATCCTGGTCAGGGCACATGCCCGGGTTATGGGCTTGATCCCCAGAAGGGGTCGTGCAGAAGGCAGCTGATCAATGATTCTCTCTCATCATTGACGTTTCTCTCTCTCCCTCTCCTTTCCTCTCTGAAATCAATAAAAATATATTTTAAAAAATAAAAATGGAGAAACCAAGAAGGCGGCAGAGGTAAACACTGGAAATTGCTGCCTCCCACAACAAATTCAAAAATACAACTAAAAGACAAAACGGACATCATCCAGAACCACAGGAAGGCTGGCTGAGTGGAAATTCTACAACTAGAAGGAAACAGAAAAGCACACTGAGACTCAGAGGAGGTGCGGAAGTGCCGAGGTACGGAGGCGCACCTGGCAAGGGCTGGCAACTGAGGACAGGGCTGTCTGTTTGAATCGGGAGGGAGTCACAAGCCCCTGACTGCTCTGAACTCCAGTTCCAGGTGAGTATCGGGGGACCCAGACTCATACAGGGAGAAACTGGACTGTCTGGCAGCGGGCAGAACTCGGAACTTGAAGGTGGCTTTCTCTCAAAGGTGCTTGCACCAATTACCGGGACACTGGGATGCAGGGCCCCTTAGGGCAGGGCTGAGGATCAGCCATAGCTGTTGCTCCACCCTGTTGATTCCCTGAGACCCCGCCCCACCCAAGCTGTATGCAGAGACTTTTTCA